AAGATTAAAAGTTAAATTACTAGTAATGGAAACGTATTGAAACTAAATCCTTATGACCAGAGGGTATAAACAAAAGAAGATAAGATAAGTAAGAATAGTTTATATTAATTAAATCAGTTTTAGCTTTCAAGTATATCAATGCTTCTATTTTACTATAATCGTTGCGTTTCCCATAAAAGTACACTCGCAAATGACTTAATGCAGCCAATCCCATACACACAAACACACACACACAACACACGTTTCATTTTATTGCGTACACGATTTCGTCTCAACTGCTCTTGTCCTCCCTAATCCTCATCGTGACTAATTCGGCTGACACTTTGACCTTCACAACTCCATGTGCTCTACTTTTTGGAGCTCCACGTCTTCTATTTTCAAGTTATGGTTCATTAGCTCCTACTCATTGGCGAGCCTACACCGCAGTCTGATAATCTGCCCACAACTGAGACTAAAAATTGTCCCAATTCTCAACTTCTTTTAAAAAATGACTGTAGTGGGCTTTGAGCATTCTCACTATAAAACCTTTATTCTTCTCATGAAGTAAGGAGACAAAATAATTTTTCTCAAAATTTAGAAAAGCACGATTTGAGTTGGACCACTTGTTTGTTGGACGGTTGAAGAAGGAGGAACCGGACAATATGTGGAGAAAGCAAAATTCGAAACAGAAGGAGGAGGATATAGCACCGGTACTGAGTGGGTGGATTTCGAATCTGGATAAACAAGGTATTGACGGAGTTCGCATTTATGACTGGTCAATAAGTGGTTGGCAGAAATAATCACCTGGCAGTGAAGACACGATGAGATATGAGCTAGCACATTCCCACTTCCAAACTTATGTAGACAACCGCGTTAACCAACTATTGATCAGTGCTAATAAAACGACCCAACCACTTTCACACACCCAATAAATGCCCTTGGGGTGGGGGGAGGTGGGGGGGTGTCTAGCTTCATTGCAAGAAACAGTCAATTTTCAACTAGAAACCGCAAATTGATTATTGTTCCACCTCATTTTAAAAATTCTCAGGCTCTATGTATTAACACTCCAATGATATGTCGTGCATTTTCTGTGAGCATGAGTAGAGACTCACGCATATCACTCCCTGCCAAAGTAGGAGGTCAAATTCTTGAAGCAGAAATTCATGCCATCTCCATAGATACCCCACCTCTAAACCATTCAACCATTCAATTGTTACTTGTAACAGTCTCCTAAAATGTGCAAAATGTAAAGAAAATATTCAGGTAAAGATGCTCTTAATCATTTCTAAATGCACTGAATAGTCTTGAAACTCTTTTAAACTCGAAATATGATTTTTAATAAAAAAATATAGTTCTTGTTCTTGAATAAGTATACTTTTAACAAACACCATATTTTCAATTTAAAATTTTGCTATAATTTCTATTGACAGTTAATTGCGATCATTCTCTCCGAATAAAATGCGTGGTCCTTACTTTGTTTTTTTCTTTTATGCCACGGCTTAATCCCTTCTCAATTGCTACCTCTATTCTATCTATTTTATATATATATCGAAGGGCATTGCTTTGATGCGTTCTAAAGTCTAGATCTTCAAAGGTATTCTTGAGCTTATTCCACTAACATTTATTTATATCAAATGACAGGCGTTCTGATAGTTATCATTAGCCCTTTAGTTGACTCCAGGCTTCACTCAGGGGAAGGAACATCAAAGTGAAAAAAATGTCGAGAGGTGGGGGGGGGGAAGAGGGGGGGAACAGAAGAGTGCTTCAAAGACCAAGGTAGAAAAAAGGTTAGGTGAGTACTGTGGAAGTAGTCGAATATGGCATACAGTGGGGTCATGGCAGTTTGAAGTGAGAAGTCAGCTGCCCATTGATTGACTTTTTTGCCGTATGAATATACTTTGCCCAGGGTGCTCCATGTGAAGGTAAGTCTATCGCACACCCCTATTCCGCTAAAATAGAATGAGCATTCGTTAGAATCTGATTAATTTAAAAATATGGCTATTTTTAGGTATTGTTTGTAAAACTAAGGTGTTTTGCTGATATTGAATTAGGAATATCTCTAATGCTCACTTTTAAAGTCGGATGCGTGTACTTCTTTAATGTAGACTCTTTATAAGCTAACGAATACACTCGAATTTTATTCCAGAGTTACTGTCTGCGAATATGTAGCTATTTACTTGCCCAATAATAAATAGAAATAACTTTTAGCTTGCAAAATAAAAACCAAAGGTGCGTTTGAGTCAAAATCATTCAAAAAATACCTTAAAACCCGATATCAATTTAAACGAAGTGCAGCAATGAATTTTAAAAATAATTCAACGTAATAAAATATAAGGTCTCAAATTATTATTTATATCAAATGGCAGACGTTTTTGATAGGCGTCATTAGCCCTTTAGTTGACTTCCGGCTTCACAGAGGAGAGGAGGAACATCAAATGTTACAAAAAAGCCGTGAGAGGAGAGGAACAAAAGAATGATTCACAAATGTAACAAAGTAGAGAAAAACGGTGAGGCGAGTACTGTGGAAGTAGTCAAATCGACATACAATTGAATCATTGTAGCTTTAAGTCAAAGGTCAACTATCGGTTTATAGACTTTTCGCCGTGCGCATATACATTGCCCAGGATGCACAACCCCATGGTCCCAAATATTAAATTCCCAATTACTGACTCCACCTACTCTCAAATGAAAAATAAATAATAAAAAACACACCCACAGGAAGTGTCTGGGGTTTTTTATTTTAAAGGAAGCGCATTTCGAAAATATTAATTGTTTGAATAATTAGATTACCGTAAACATATTGATTAATTAGTCTAAATGGTAGCCTTCTTATACATCTGACTGCATGTATAAAAGAAGGTGCACATATGAATATTATGGTTTAAAAACAGAAAATGATATTCAGTTTCTTTGCCACTAAGATCTAGGGATCATAATGAAAATGTTATAACATTTCAACTGGGCGAATGAGCTCCTTTCAAATCACATTTGGTCTAGTTTGATAACTTTGTTTCGGGATAAAGCACGAGGCTAATCAATTAAAGAGCTGAAAAGCAATTGGAACGAGCAGAATTTAAATGGGAGGAGGGATGCACGACTGATTTACCAACGTATACTCATACGGCAAAATGTCTATGAACCGGTAGTCGACTTTAGGCTGCAAACTACCATGACTCGACAGTGTGCCATATTCAAACACCTCACTGTACTCACCTTACCCTACCCTCTACCCTTGTGAATCACTCTTCTGTTCCCTATCACCACGTTTTGTGACTTTGATGTTCTTCTCCTCTGTGACGCCTAAAGTTAAATGAAGGCCTCATGATAGCTATCATAAAGCCTGTCACTTAATATTAATAAATAAATAAATAAATATTTAAATGCGAGAGGGATAGAGTGGGAAGGCTGGAAATGCGGAAGGTAGATGCTGCAGAAATTGATTGTAAGAATTAATTCATGGATGTTGGAAGTGGGATCGGAATCAGGCCAATGTCGGGTCAAGGGTCGAGCTGAGGGTAAACAAGGAAGGATCAAGGAAATATGGGAATGAGATTCGGGAAGGTTGCGTGCAAGGGCAAATATCGATTAAAATAGCCAGGAGGAGGGTTTTGTTTCCGAGGGATCTCGATAAAGAAACTATCGAAAATACAAGCCCAAAACCCCTAAAATCAGTGAGTAGCATTTGAATTTGTGAAAATTTATTTGATATAATTTGGTAAAATGGTCCATCAACTATATTCACTTTCAACTTATATAAATATCATCTTCAGACCCAACCTCAACAAAGTTTAAATAATGATTATTTTTTTATTTCCTAAAACCAGGAATAGTAACTATTGATATTATGTTTAGTGTAATTTATAAGCTGTTTTTTATAAAATTTGATGTAACCTGTTTTCATTAATTTATACATTGCCAATAGAATGACCAATTCGTAGAAATTGAAAGAATTAGCCAGAAACACATCTGAAGAAGGAATAGTTCAATGGGGAAAGTAATCCAATAAATTAAAGGACACCAACTGAATCTGAAAAGTTTTAAAAAAGAGCGCATGTTCTAACAGGGAAAGCGTTGAGAAGAAAATGCGATTTTAATGCGCTAAATACTCTTTTCCTTTCATTACTTGGGGTGTGCGATAGACTTACCTCCACGTGGTACACCCTGAGCAACGTATACTCTTACACGGCAAAAAAGTCTATTAACTGGCAGTTGACTTTTGACCTCTAACTACCATCACCTCACTCTATGCCATATTTGACTATTTTTCACAGTACTCACCTTACCTTTTTTCTACCTTTATGTTTGTCTCCAACATCTTTGAAACACTCTTCTGTTTACCCCCCCCCCCTCCTCGACTTTTTTCAATTTGATATTCATTCCCCTCTGTGAAGCCTGAAGTCAACTAAAGGGCTAATGATTGCCATCAAGATAGTTATCATGAGACCTTTATTTGACTTCAAGCTTCACAGAGGGGAAGGAACATCAAAGTGAAAAAAGTCAACAGGGAGGAGGGGGGAACAGAAGAGTGTTTCAAAGATGTAAAAGAGATAGACACAAAGGTAGAAAAAAGGTGAGGTGGGTACTATGGAAGTAGTCGAATATGACATACAGTGAAGTGATGGCATTTTGAAGTCAGAAGTCAGCTGCCAGTTAACAGACTTTTTTGCCGTATGAGTATACGTTGCCCAGAGTGCACCACGTGGAGGTAAGTCTATCTCACACCCCATATTCAAATATGTTAGAGTTGATTAATTAAAAGGGAATTGACTTAAGCACACGAGGAAAAGTCCGTCCTCATAAAAAAGTCAATCGAGGAGTAAAAATAGAAAATAAAGACTCAAGTAATCGATTAAGATAGATCAAGCAGTGCTTAAGGTGTCACTGTAGATGACAATATGCAAAGGAGTCTCAAGGAACGCAAATTCCTGTCATCAATGCGAAAACCCATTACATTTCATTAATTGCCAATGTTAATTTTGTCCATAAAAACAGTATAAGGGTCAAAGGTTATTGGGGAATATTGGGAAGAAAATATAAAGTTGGCAGCAAATTCGTCATAGCTATGTCTGCTCCCACCTCACCAAATGATTTCTGCAAGATTCCTTAGAGCCCTTTTCCAGCGACTTGTTTCTCTCCTAAAAATATTCAAGCCATGAAGACTACATACACAAAGCGGAGCAAAAATGGTTTAATTCAAGGCCGAAATCCTCAAATTTTACAATTTCCTAATTCCTTTCTTTGAAGGTCCTCATCCATTCATTAAATCGAATCATAGATAAGATTCTCGATTAAAGTAATAAAGTTTAATTGATAAATCCAATAGTAATGTTAACATTTAGAACCTGGGAAGATATCCGTCTAGAGGTCTATTAAATTAGATATGAATACATTTTATAACCACATGTCTTCGTGATAAAGAGCTATTGGCTGGATTAAACTGAAATTTGAAGACTGCAGATGGCTAAAGTTATTGATGCTCTTGAATTTGATATAAGAAAAAAATTTGGCCAATTATTGCAATGCACGAGAAATAAATTATGGTTTTAAACTCGTTATTTGGTGCCTTTATTTCTTGCAAAAAGAGCATAGATTAACAATTCGAAATGAATGAAGAGATGTAGATGCTACTAACTTCTTTTAAGTAAAAATTCAGTTTTGTTGTACAAATAGCGGGAATGCACTTAGCGCACATTGTTATCGTGTACGTCTAACATGTGTGATGTTTTATTAAATGTGTGAAACTTTATTAGAACGTGTAAAAAACCAAGTTGACTTACTCTTTACTGTTTTGACTCTTTTT